ACATCTTTGCTTCTCTCTTTGCGCAGGGTCTGAATTAGATTACCACTTGGAGCTAGGTTGGGGCCACTAGCTTTGCACCTAAATATGTATCCAATCACGAGGGGAAAGATCGATTTTAACCTCCATGCTGTATCAATTTTTAATCTTAAAGCTTTTAATTTATTTTATCAAATTGCCTTTTAAATTTAATGTTGCAATATTCATTTTAAACTTTAAAAAATGTTGTAATTTTTATTCGGATAAGTAAAAATGGTTAAAGAAAGTATTGATCTCGTTATAAAATAAATTTTTGGGGTAGAATATCAACGTATCTTTGGTCCCTAAACTTGAAGATTGAATTTTATTTGGTCATCAAATTTCAAAAAGTCACCATTTGATTATACTTTTAGAAAATGGTTCTAAAAATTCTCTAGAATTGAGAGCATAAAGTGACCATTTTAAAGATTTTTATTCTCGTGATCGGAGCTTCAAATCGAGGAGTGTATCCACATATGACACCATGAAGTCTTCTGGTTGTTTTTCCATTTGGCTCTTTTGTGCTTGGCCTTCCTTCTTGCTTCAATTAAAAGGATTATGACTTCAATCTTAAAGTTTTGGAGAGGGATAAATAATAGTAAATGTATAAGAGATGAAAATTTTAAGAAAGAAAAATAAATTTTTGGAGAGAAATTTAAGCACCAAAATAAATAAGCTAAACTAGCTAGAGAGAAATATATGAAAGGAAAAAGTTGAGCATTATAATAAATGAGATTTTGAAAAACGTAAATCTATTTAAAAAAAATCAAATTTATTTAGAATTTCAAAAACGTTTTAAAAATACAAAAAAAATTATTAAACAAGCTTTTTTTTCAAATATCAAAAACCAAAATAGGAAACAAAATGTTCGTTTGATAAAACATTTTATTTCTTGTTTCTACTTCATCATTTTTAATAAAAAAAGAAAAAGTAGAATTGCATGACCCAACACTCGTGAAGATCAAACAATATATTCATATTTATGTTTGGTAACAAATTAAATATATAAATTTATTTTGATTATTTCCAAAATTTTATAGAGAATATTTAAAGTAAGAAGTAAGAAACCTAATTAGTTACCAAATTTAAAGGATTCTTAATAAAGTTTGGAAACTGAAAAAAAAATGGAGAGATTATCAAATTTGTCCTTAATTATCTAATATTTTGACCTCTTCATTAGTAGTGTACAAAGTTGGCCGACAAACCAATCCGATCAATCGAAACCGACTATATCAGTGTTGGTTGATCGATTTTCAACCCTTATCAGTCGAAAGTTGGTTTTATATAACAAAACCAAGATGACAGTTGGTCGGTCAGAAAAATACCCTCTAAATCGACGAATATATATTTAAAAAAAATCAATTTCACGTGTTAATTAGTGTGATTCACGTTGATTTTAACTTTTTAATTGCCATTCACCTTTCAATGGTCCATTTATTTTATTATTTTATATATGTATTTATTAATTAGTACATGTGGGCTGGGGTTCCAACTCTCATATTCTTCATCGGAGAAAGTATAATAAATAAATATACTTTTATACATAACTTTCATTTTTCTATCTATCCATTTTTCAACCTTCTCTATTTTCTCTTTATAATCTTGTTTCTTCTTTTTTATCTTTCTTTTTCTCTTCTCCATTTCAAGTTTCAGATCTATTTTTTTTCTCTCTCCATTTTCAATTAAAATTTATTTTCTTACCCTCTCCTCTTCTCTTTTAGTCTTTCCTTCTCACATTCTCAACTTCATATCTTCTTTTCCTTCGATGAAAACGACAACAATAAATATAATTTTTTTTAATGCAAAGGTTATGGATGGAGAAGAGGTACGTGAAAAACACAAAATGTCAAAAAAGAAAAGAAAGAAAGTTAAGTTTGTTGAAAACCGACCGATAGATGTAGATCCCACTCTTCATCACCTATCATTAATGATTTGATTTGAGTATCATATGAAAAATGTGATTCATGTGTACTTCTCCAATCTCGAGAAAAATCAACACCACACCAAAATAAGAAAAATGTGATTCACATGTTAGAGCAACACCGCACCATTAGAAAAGTGTGATTCACATTTGTCTAGTCTAGTTATTAAACAAAAGTGAAATAATATATTTATTAAAATTTTTATCTTTTAATAATCCTACACTTTAAAATTTCAAATCTAAAATTTGAAAAGTTCATTTAAATTCGCACGGCTTTACTTTTGGTTTCACCCAATAGGTTTCGGACTTTGTTTGCAATCACCTATCAAGTATCCTCTCAAATAGTCACTCATCCATCTACTTCCCTTTGTTTTTGCAATCACCTTATAAACCCAACATGGGTGGCGTTTAATGTTTTAATATAATCCTTGAGTTTGAGCCAAGTTTTTTTTTGCATATTCAACTTGTGCGCTGGAAGTTAAAAGTGGAAGTGTGAGATGGAAGAAGGAATATTGGTGAGAATTGTGGAAGTTTGTAACATTTCTCCATCCTCACATTCTTCATCGGAATCACAAATCTCTCTTCCTCTAGCTTCCTTTGACTGGATCTGCTTACGGGCCCCTCTGCTTCAGCGCCTACTTTTTTATCCACAAACACAAATACATGATTCCTTCACTGATTCCATCGTTCCCAAACTGAAGCGCTCTCTTTCTCTTACTCTCACCCACTTCCTTCCTCTAGCCGGCAGCCTCGTCTGGCCGGAGGATTCTACCCTACCCTTCATTCTCTATTCCCCCAACGATGCCGTTTCCTTCACCGTCGCCGACACTACCCATTCCGACTTCCACCATGTCTCCGGCCACCATCCACGTCAGATCAACGACTCTCTGCCCTTAATACCCACCGTCCAATCTTCCCATTCTCGCGTTTCAGTTATGGCCATACAGCTCACTCATTTTCCAAATCAAGGGTTTTCCATTGGCTTTGCCGTCCACCACGTGATCTTTGACGGCAAAAGTTTCAACCTTTTCTTGAAAGCATGGGCCTACATCTCCAAACTCATCGGAAACCAATTGGAACTGGAATTGGAATTTTGTCCTTTGCCTCCGGAACTGACCCCTTCATTTGAAAGAGGCCCCAATGTCCTTCGAAATCCACTTGATTTCGTTCCCAATCAAAGAAGCGTGAAGTGCTACACACAGGTTTTGCCTGCATCCAACTACCTCATTGCCACATTTCAACTCACCCCAACACACATACAAAAACTCAAGAAAAGGGTGTTGGAGGAAGTAGAGCAAGAAGAAGAAGAATTGCATTTATCAACATTTGTGGTGGCTTATGCGTATGCATTGATATGTTTCATCAAATCGAAAGGAGGGGAGTGTAAAGAATTTGTGCATTTTCAACTGGCTGCAGACGCTACTGGGTTGTTGGATCCGCCAGTTTCGAGCAACTATTTTGGAAATTGCCTGGCCCATCCGGGGATGCTGATGGAAGCAAGGGAATTTAGAGGAGAAAATGGGTTTTCGAAGATCGCCAAGAAAATTAGCCATTTGATTTTGGAACTGAGAACAAATCGCACAGTGAAGGTGTCTTCAATAGCCGATTGTATTCAATTTCATACCAAATACTTTTCAACAACTGAAATTTGTTCGGTTGCAGATTCGCCCAAATTTGAGCTATATGAAACAGATTTCGGGTGGGGAAACCCCAACAAAGTTGAGATGGTTTCGTTGGCAAAGAACGTGATTTCTTTGATAGACACCAAACCAGATGGAATTGGAGGCCCTGGAGTTGAAATTGGTCTCCTTTTTCCAAACCATCGTCAATGGGACGTTTTTGCTTCTCTCTTCGCCCAGGGTATTAATTAGTTCATTTGGTTTCTTTTGCTTATGTGCATCAAAATTCAAGTCTGCTATAGAATTTAAATTCATGACCTCTTAATCACAGATCGGTGTTGATTATTATTGAACTAAACTCATCTTTATTCAAAAATTTGTTTTTTAATCATTTCTTATGTTACTTTTCCACGTCACGTTTTTATTCAAGTCAATGGAAGTTAAACTTAAAAAATGAACAACCTCAACAATAAACAAACAAAAAAGTTACTAATACAACAAAAACGAGCGAACATCAAAAGAAACATCACAAACTTCATAAATGAGATGCAACACATAACGACTCATTAAGGAAATAGCTCACAACCAGAGTTTATCGAAAGTCGCGAGCGAGGTCAAACTTGTCCCATTAAGTAGTAGCACAATAGCACGAGTATAAATATGACTCTAAACAAGATGTAGAGTAGCTTGTTGCCAGACGAGAAGCATCCCATGTTCATTGAATCACATCATCTCTGTAAATATAAGAAATTTGACTCGTAGCATAATTAAATTTAACATACTACTTTTAAAATGTTGCATTTTTTAAAACAATATGGTATAAACATGACTTTTTTTTATCAGTATGATATTAAATTAAAATTTGAGTTTGATTTAGTTATGCTAGTTTAGCAAAATTTTCAAACTTAGGGCTACTAAATTCAAAAATTTGATCAGTGCTTTCATATACTAAAAACAAGAAATGCAAACCTAAAAATAGATTGTAATCAAATATTACCCAGTTTGAGAGTGTAACATGTTATCCTCAATTCACATTTCCATATAATATAATTTTTTTGAAATATGGGGAGAAAACAGATATTTCAAATTCGTAAGGGTGATAAATAAGATATAATTCCACCATGACCGGAAAGGCATAGGATTTTCCTTTGATTTCCACAACTTTTTAACTCTTCTCAGCCATGGAAGTTTAGCCAAAAGAATTCCTAGCAAATAATTATTTATGGATTATTTCTAAGATTTGATGACAATTTTTACCTTATAATATTAAATATAGAGTCACAAAATTTCTGTCCAATAAAAAATTAATAGAACATTAAAGATATGCACACTAGAGTTAGATTTTTTTAGGGTAAATTGCAAAAACCACCCCTGAAGTATGATTGTTGTTACAATTGTTCTAATTGTTCGCTTTGGACATAGCCCTCACGGCTTTGCTTTTGGTTCCACCGAAAATGTCTCATACCAATGGAGATAATTGTTCTCCCTTATATACCCACATGATCATTCCCTTACCTAGTCAATGTGAGACTTTGTTTGCAATCACCTTACAAACCCAACAAACTTTATTTACTCATGTCTATTCTCATCTAGTAAACCTCCAACCAAACGACACCGAGATGAGATTACAAAATTGAGGTGGATCCACAATTTGATTCAATTTCTACAATTTGGTAAATATTATTAGAGGGAATGCAAAATTTCATTGCCATACATGGTAAGTAAAGGGAATGCAAAATCTTTTTCACTTTGAATTTTTAACCCTTTCTTAAGAAAACTTCCACTCGTAACTCTTCCATACCTTTTTCGACCCGTTTTTTTTTGTTAAGATGTGAAAGTACATCTTTACAGGTCTTATAATATAAATTCTCACCAATACAAAAATATTCTTCAAATTTCTAACTCTTAACTATATTTATAAAAAAAATCTCAAATTTAAAAAATGAAGCCATAATTTCAACATCTATCTTTTCTAAAAAAAATAAAAATAAAAATCTCAAACTTTCTCTCATTGAGATTTAAGGTGAAAATCATGTAATTCCAGAAAATTTGAATTAAGTGGGAAATTTCGCACTTCAGACCCCTCAGGGAAGTTTTGGCGCGTTGGGAAGTTCTGCACAATTCATGCAAATCCCAGCTTGGGATAGCATAATCTAAGTTCAGAATAGCATATCCCAGCTTGGGATTATGCAATTCCAACTGAGTTTGCACAAGGATTAATACAATTTTACAAAATTGCATGAATTTTGTTGAGAGATTCATGCAACTTGGTTGAATACTTTTTTTTTTTCCTTATCTTGATGGATTAATCAACCATTAATTTTGTAATAATTTTCATATATATAATAAATGTAGGTAGAAGATCACCATTAATCCTCTTAGAATTTATCTTTTATGAAATTTCCAAAATTTGACTATTTTTATTAAAAAGGGAAAAAATTTGAAAAGGAAAGGAAGAAAAGGCTGATTGATAAATTAGAAAAGGGAGAGGATGTGAGGATATGTTGGTGAGAAGGGTTCGAAATTGTGGAGAAATTGATATTTTTATAATTTTACCAGAGTAAAACTTTGAAAGGAATCAAAAACTAGAATTGGAGGAGTCAGTTTTTTGAAAATGGGTAAAAAATCAAAATTGAATTACAAAAGGTCACAAATGCTAATTTCACGATATCTTAGTTTAAACAATCATTTTCAATCATTATAGTTAACTAATTTATTGATTTTTTTATTATTAATGTATATATATAGCCCGAAAGGTTAAGCTTACACATATACTGGCTCAATTTGCACGTGAAATGGTTGTAAAAATTTTGTTGGGGGCACGTGCATGACTTCGCTGTCCCACATACCCATAACAATTATGTGTATGAAATAATTATGATAATAAATAACATTGCTCTTATAGTTTGAGAAATTGAAAAATAATTTCTACCCACGCTTTCATTTTTCCATTTTATTTTTCATGTAATGTTTTGAAAAACTGCAATATTCTCATTTGAGTAAAGCTCGGTAGAAGTGAAATGCATATTTATTTTGCAATTCCAAGATTTTAAACTCATTTGCTTAAACTTGAATGGTTGGTTTATAAATCCTTTTTCGAACAAATTTACCTGCAAAATCTTCCATATCCACGCACACACTATATATATATTATAGAGGTAGATAATGGTATTTGAAACAAATTAAAGCTGTGTTCTTTCTTTGAAAATTTGGTGTGCGTCTGAGAGCTTAATTCAATGGAGAAAGGCAACGCAGTGAAAATAGTTGAAGTGAGTAAGGTGTCTCCATCCTCACCTTCTGTATCAAAATTTTCCCTTCCTCTCACTTCCGTTGATTGGATTTGCATAAAGTTGCCTCCATTAGAGCGCCTATTCTATTATTCAATCCCTTATTCTGCCTCTGATTCTTCATTGTTTTTCCACTCAATTCTAATTCCCAATCTCGAACAATCCCTCTCTCTCACTCTCAACCA